AGAGACCTGCTCTTTACTTTCTTAACTAAGTAAATTTATTTAGTATCCCTGAAGAATTTCGGCTGTAATGGGTCTGGAAGAAAAGTACCCTAAATTTAAGCAAGGAAATGCTGACATGGGTCACCTTGAGTAACTTTGACTGGATTTTAGAGGTTGTAGTTTTAATAAAGGATTAATTTTTAGTTATAATTTTCTTGTATTCTTTTCACCTATCTTTTATTTCTTTCATCCTACATCAGTACAGCGTGGGCAGAGAGGCCCTGTGATTTGACAGTTGAGTGAACCTGTCTGTGCAGGCCAGGAATTTTGCAAGCCTTCTTGGTCCCTCCCTCCCAGCCTTCTAGGTGGGACAGGATGGCTGGCATGGGCTGGAGCTGGGTGATATCCTTCTAATAACATGTGACAGGGTAGATGCTGGCAAATACTTTCTCATATTGAAGAAAGCATATAAGCAAAGGAGAACAGAGTGCTCTGGGGTATTTCACAATGGCTCCCTCTTCCCTTCTCAGCTGGAAATACAAAGGGCGTTTTCAGTGGCACTGGCTGTGAGAACGTGCAGTGTACAAATCCCCTCTTCCCCCAGGACAGGTTCCTGGAATGTGTAACTCAGCCATGAGCTCACACTGAGTGGCAGGTTCCTCATTCTGTCCCTGGTTCCCTGAAAGGCTTCGGTTCTGGTTCAGGAAGTTGCAATTGTCTCTACTCAACTGGCTGCCTTTCTAGCTGGAGCAGTGTTTTACTCTGTGACCTTACTTTTCCTAAGTATCTGTTAGGCAAAAAGTTAGACATTAGCGGGCTTGGAGACAGACACTCTGCAGCTACTTGAAAAGCAAAAAACACTTGATGTTTTCCTCTTTTTTCTTCATTTCCTTAATCATTAGCTTTCGGTTTCCAGCTATAGCTCAAGAGAATTTAACCTCCTCTGAGCCTGCTGATAAGATCGGGCTGTATTTCACCTGCAGAGTGAACAGGAAAGTCCTTCCCTCTGACATATGTCAAAAAAGAGCCCCATTTTTCTTGTAAAAGAACAGTGGCTTTGAAGAAAGGAGATGACATTCCTGAAAGACCCAATTAATCTTATAAACACAGCCTGAGTCTAACTCGGTATAACTGCCATCTCAGTGCTCACCCACCTTTACAACTGGAGGTGTTCTCTCTCTATCCTTCTGAAAATCTAGCGCTTTCTAGTACACTCTACTGTACTCTGCAGCCTAGGTGTCTCGTCTGAATTCTTTTGTCAAAGACACAAGGAGCCAAGGAAAGAAGTTCCTCAAGCTGTTGGGACCTGGTGTCCCAGTGAGATCTGAGAAGACTTTCTATGTATGCATGTATGAAGCTTTTGTTTGTAGGGACAGAGCAGTGGCTTCCATGTGTGTTAAATACCACACAGTTAAGTACCGATCCCCTGAGTTAGAATTTCTCCTTCTTCTCCCACTTCTGTTGGTTCTGTTGGTCTGTCTCTGTCTCTGTCTCTCTGTGTCTCTGTGTCTCTGTCTCTGTCTCTCTCTCTCTCTCTCTCTCTCTCTCTCTCTCTCTCTCTCTCTCATCTTGTTTCACTTGCTCCAGGAGAGTCTGCAGAGCTTCCCATTTGAGTGAACTGATGAGCGCTGTGGTCCAGGCACTCTGCTTCTACCATTCTGGAACCCTGAGCCTATCCCAATTCTAAGCACATCTTGAGAGCCCTGTTTCCTCTTTTGCCTGCATCAAGTTGTCTGTGGCAGCTCAGAGGACTTGCAAGGCTGCTTTTTCAGCGTGCATATTTTCCCAAATGGGTTAAATCTTTGGGAATCTCATGAATTGGTTGTTAAACTTTCATTTGTCAAATCAGGGAGAATTGTAACCCCAGGTTGGCTATGCTGAAGAGCATGGCAAAAATCAACAAAAGAATTCTGTGAGAATCAGTTGGCTATAGGAAATTACAACAAAGAGTAGGCATATTTTATTCTTTTATGTAAATTATATTACACCTATTTCTGTTAGTTTATAATAATCAAGTGTGTGTATACCTACATCTGGGGGAGCCAGGTATTAGATATTTAATATCTTCCTGTTTTTAAGACAAGTAATGTGGCGGCAAATACATCACAAAGGTGCATAAACACTTTCTTGCATCTGATTATGTGAAATTGTTCACAATAAATAATCCCAAAAGGGCAGACTCTTTCTTTGGTCTCTGTTTACAGAACAGGCAATTTCCATAAGTCATACCTGTGATTGTGAGTTACAAACGTAACCCGAATTCACTTGGGCCACCTAAGCCAGAGTTACAAGCAGGTTTAGTGACATTTTGCTAAACTTGGCTCCCCTTGCTCTTTCAGACCCTCTACTTTCCTCTTGGTGTTTCTGGGGATTCCCAGACTGTTTTACCAATCCTGTGGCTCCATAAGCCTCATCTGAGGTTTCTCCTTGTGTTCAGGGAAACTCAACACTATGAGGAGGTCTTTCCTGAGACTCCTGTCCTCAGCACCAACCTCCAGTGTCTTTTGGTGCATCCTGTGCTCTCCCCCATGGCTCACATGGCAATGTGGCTCTTTAATATGAACTCAGTTTTATGTATTGGAGATTGGGAGATACAGACCCTCAGACAGACCACGTGTGAGTACTGGGCTATTTACTCTCACTCAGTGTGGGCAGACTGGGTCTAGTAAGAGAGTCATCAGCAAGCTGGGGAGAGCAAAGGTTTTTAAGGAGGCACTGGTTGCCTGGCAGGGAGAGGTAGTTGCCAGGCATTGGAGCAGGCTGTCTGAAAGGTTGCTGTCTTGAGGCATCTGGAGGCAGAGGTAGCATGACTTCCCTCCCCAGGCAGTGGTGTAGATATATTATGCACAGCTAAACTAGCAAAAATAATGTAGGGAGTCAGACAGGGATGGGCTCTCCATGAAAGCCAAGAGAAAGGTGAAACACATCTCAACTACGGTTGGAGGCACATCTGTTAGAGACCAGGCCCCAAGATAAAGACAAGCTGAGCAGTTCTGTATACTTCCTCTAAAGACAAACATCAAGCCTAATAAAGCCTAGACAGACATCAGTCACCCTGGCAGGTGACAGACCTCCAAACCCATCATTTCCTAGAAGAAGCCTCTGTTCTTCCCAGATATGTGACTTGTTTCCCCATTGGATCACTATTACCTAAATGTTAAACACAGCTGCAACCCACACTGTACCCAATGGGTATTTTTCTATAAAAATTTCCCTGTAAAGTAGGGTCCTCTGCAACCCATTTGGCACCCCCCCCAGCTATATCTCTCTTTCATTAAATACCTTCCTACTCTTAACTTCTGTTCTTTCTTGAATTTATTCCTTGATTTTTAGAGAACATAAACTCAGAGTATCAGATATCTAACAGGATGAAAGTTATCATATATCCCTTATATCATATTTGGAGGTTCTGATATCACCCCTATATCATACATACCCTAACTTTCTGGCATCTAATGTGTTGCCTGATGGTGAGAAGGAGATGTTTGCTATTTTGGCCACATCAATGGTCACATTCTTCACTGTGACCAAGAGCTCTGCCTGAGACCTCCCCGTTATGGTTCCCTGCACATGTTCTCCTGGAGGGAATGCGTGCCTGCTCAAGCACCTTGCTGCCTGCAGAAGAGTGACAAAACAGCAAGGTTGGGAGGCAGAGGAGTGGCTGTCCTGGGAGGAAACTCAGGGGCCTTCTGGAGCCCGAGAAATATTCTGCCTTTGATCAAGGTGATGGGGACCTGTGGATGGTTGTGGGCTGTTTTTGCGACTACAAAAACAATGGGAGTGTAGTAGTGTGGCTTGTGCATTGCCTGAGCTATGGACTTGAGCAGATCTGGGTCTAAATTTACAGGGATAGGACTTGGTCAGCCAACTTTTCCTTTAGCAATGTTTCCCCACTTACAAAATGACCTGACAGTATACAGTCACGTAGTTATGATTCAGAGTCCTGGTTCAGCCTCATACACAGATTTTTCTTTATACTCTAACTAGTAATTGTTTGTGTAAACCCTGGGAATTTCCCTGGGAAGGCTAAGTCCCCTGAAATCAATGAATCTTTCTTTCTTTCTTTCTTTCTTTCTTTCTTTCTTTCTTTCTTTCTTTCTTTCTTTCTTTCTTTCTTTCTTTTTGTTGTTTGCAAGTAGCCAATTGGAAAGGGTTATTTAGTTCTCCTTGCTGCTGATTGGCTGCTGTCCTGTAACCCATCTTAGCACTTTCACCAGTATCCAAGAATCATAGCAGGTTGCTGTATTGCATGTAGCTGAGTGTCCTCAGTTTTGGTCTTCTTAAAGCCCTAGAGGCTGCCAAAAATGTCCTGAACCTTCTAAGAGTTCTGACAATGAATCTAAGTACCAGAAATTTAAGACACTCTAAATGAAAGTGGAACTACTGGATTTGCTTGGGGAACTAAACAGTTATGCTGCAGTAGCATACTAGGCATTTATAGGCATTTTTTCTGAACATATCTGAGATTTGTGGTTTTTCACAGTTTATAGGTTTTCTAGGAATGTAATCCCCATGAATTTTGGGGGTTCATAGTAAAATGAGCATAATTTGTCCTGGAAATGTGGTTATTATCCAAAGCACTTGTATATCAAAGTGAATTTTCCCATAAGAAATAATGGAAACTCAGAGGATTTGTTCTATAACCCATAAACATACCAAATAATCACAATACTGCAATACAATACAAAATAATAAAGAAAATAAAAATAGGAAGAAAAGTAAACAAATTAATTGGTACTTACAGTGGACCCTTGACTTAAGAAACTTAGTTTGTTCACAAGGGCTGGTTGCAGCTTAAATTGGTTGTAAGTTAAGATTGTTTTTCCCACAAGAAATAATGGAAATACCTATAATGCATTCTGAAACCCCCAAAGCATCCCTTAACTAACATTTTTATAATAAAAAAGATTTGTATAATGTGTATATTTTACTAGAAACACCAACACTTTTCAGGTGTATTCCCCAAAAAGTTATAAAATGTACCTAGTTTACTAGAAACAATAACTTTTTGCTATACTCACCATTTAAGTTGACATCTTTGGCTTGCAAGAAGGGAGGATCAAGTGGAAGGTGGTTATTTTTCCTTCCATAGGAACATCAGGAATCTGGCTCTCTGGTGTCCTTTTTCTCCTGAGAAGAGTCTGTAGCCCACTAGGACCTACTTCTGGCTCACTAGTTCTCAGCCTTTTCAGAACTACAAACTAGTCTAGGGTTGTCTGTTTCTGTGTTTCGTTTATCACTGTTGTGTAGTATGACACAACATCCTCATTAAGCAAGGAAGGCAATGATTGCCTTATTCTCTGTCTGGGCAGGTCTTCTCTATAAATGCTTGTAACTCTGCCCATTTATTGAAGATTTCCTCTTTTTCAGAAGAACTTTGCTGCATCAGTTATTGATAATCTTCTTCCTCTTCAGAGAGCTCCACAGCTGTCATTCTCTGTTGCTCAGCCAGAAGTTGCTAAAGTTCCTCTGTAGACAATTCCTTTGAGTACTCTTCCACCAGTTCCTCAGCATCCCCACACTGTCTACCTGCAAGCTTATGGACTATGCTCAGTGACAGTGTCATCAACCACAGAGTCAACTGAAGACTCAGGCTCCTCCACACAGCTTTCAAAGTCTCTCCCCTGTATAATTTTAGGTCATGCTTTCTTCCAGGCTGCAATGAGTGTCCTTAAAGAGACACTGACCCAGGATTTCTCAACCCCACACAGGAAGGGATGTTGTAATGTTCTTCCCAGAACTCTTTAAAGGTTAAATTTGTATCTGAGACCATTTGCAAGCACTTTAGGAACTGTTCCTTGGTGCCCAGCTTCTAAAGTCAGCTATAACATGCTGGTTCATAGGCTGTATTAGAGGAGTTGTATTAGGTGGGAGGAACTCGGCTGAGAGCCATGAAATCCTTTAGCTAACTCTTCCAAATCTCATGGGTGAGCTGGAGCATTGTCCATGATGAGGAGAGTGATAAATCTCTGTCCCTGGATATTTCTTTTTGGGAGGGTGGCTTTCAAATTTTTTTTGAAAAATAAGCAAAACAGAAAAAAGGGTAGAAATGATACAGAATTTCAAAAAATAACAGTAAGAAATAATCACTAGTTAATGTATCACATATTGTTATCTTAGAAGTAGTTGTTCAAGTTACAAAATCAAAGCATAAAAAAAAGTAGGACAGAAAGTTCCCTGATTCACTCAAGAAAAAGTACTCCTGTTACAGAGGCTTTTGTGGAGGTCTCCACGTGACTCCTAGCTTATTCTGCATGACTGTATGTTTTATGAACACTGCAGGCGCCTCAGAGTGATAAACCACCAGATGCTTTGTCTTAAGCTCATCCCTGGCATTGCCACATTGCAGGAAGTCCAGCCTACCCTCCATAGGCTTGCGGCCTCACACTTCCTTCTCTTCCTGCGTGATGTGTCTTTTCCTGGGCGTTTGCTTCCAGAAAAGGCCAGTCTTATCACTGTTGGAAACTTTGTGAGACCAAAAGTTTCTCTGTGGCATCGTTCTGAAGTGGTGCATGTAATTTTAGCAGCCCGTTTATCAGCCCTGGCTGTTCCACTACACCTAGTCTCACTCTGAACCTGTTCTCACTTTAACATTGTGAAACTGCCCCTTACTGGCACAAATGCTTCACCACTATCACTTGTTGATGGATTAGCCTTTATAAGAGCTGCATTTATAGCCCTAGCTTTTTCACAAATTAAAGATTCAGATATGCTATAACCTGCTACCTACCCTTTATTTATCCACAGTCATAATATTCTTTCTATCTTGTGCAACACTGTTACACATTCCTGGAATGCGACATTGCATTGTTGTTAAAAAAATTCATTGCTCATGCTGCTATAATCTTGTTTGGGTGGTTTACTACAAATTTTTGTACCTGTTTCCACATTTTACACATCTCTCTGATCTCATTCTTTGCCTTCCTCCCCTCTCCTTTATGAATGAGATCTCCATAATCTCTTGCTATTTGGAGAAGATCATCCGCAGTCCTGCAGAGAGGGGGAGCGATAAATAGAGAGATAGATAGATAGATAGATAGATAGATAGATAGATAGATAGATAGATAGAAAACCATTAACTTAATTGTGATTATGTAGCATTGTGTCACCCAATACTCATATTATAAGATACCACTCATTCATGAGGTTAAAATTTATTAGAAATATTTGCTTGTTTTGTGGAATATCACAGAGCAAGTTATTCACTGTCCAAGGTTTTACTGTTGTAGCTTCTACCCTTATAGTATATGTAAGAGTTAGCTAATTTTAAGAATTCAATAACTTATAAAGGTAATTCTATCTTTGCTCATGTGTCTCTGAAGATGAGATAAAAGAATATATTTTATTAGGGGCGTACAATAAAGCTGTTAGGAAAATGTATCTTGGAACACACATCGTCTCTTGAGTATCTATCTGTGAGAATATTGTAGTTTACATTCCTGGGTGATCTCTCCAGCCAACCAGGAGGGAGGGGACTGTAGTCTAATACTTATGTCCATTTATCACTGTCTTAGTTACTTTTTTCATAGCTGAGACAAAATACTTGGTTCCCAAAGTTATTGTAGCTCACATTTTGTGAAGGTTCTAGTCCATAGCCAGCTGGCTCTAAGGCAGTGTAGCACGGCAGGGGGACATTGCAGAGAAGAAACAGATCATAGCAAAGCAGGGCAGGTAGAAGGTAGCAAGCAGTGAATGACAGCAACAGACCTCTTTCTGTCCCTTATATTCCTTCTAGGTTATCTGCTCTTTTGGCAGGTAGCACTCATCCACAGAGTGGGGTACCCTTAATCTCACCATTGCATCATTAATCCCAAAATCACATACTCCAGATTCAGCCACATCTGAAAAGCCCCACTGAAACTGCATTAAGCTTTGGGGAACATCTAGTTACAAATAACCACTCTTACATGTACTATAACAACTACTGACTACAATAGGGCAAGACATTCAACTTTGTTTTTTTTAGCCCAGCATCCCTTACCTGTAAGAGGGGAAGCAATAATCCCTGCAGCTATTACTGGTGAGATTATTATAGACAGTTAAGTTACACAGAAATTAATAGGCAGCCAGATAGAAATGGACCTTTAAGGAAGTCAATGCGAAAGATGAAAACACATCACCGTTGTGTCTGGAGGTGCACTTAAAGAAAGTCAGGCCTCAAGACAGAGACATTATAGCCAGGCTTACAGGCGTCTCTAGAGATAAAAAGCAACTTGAGGTCACTGTGTACTGTAATGAGCACCCGGTCCAATAGGCCCAGTCAGGCATTAGACACACAGATAGGGGACCAAAACATCTGGACCTGTCTCCGGCCAGGGACGCCTTTGCCAAAGTAAATTATGCTTGCCATGCCTTGCTTCCCTTCTGGATCAATATTGGCTAAGTATACTTGTAATTCTACAGGTTGATTGTAGTTTGACCCATGTTGTACCCACATTGTGACTTTGCTGTGAGATTACCACTGACAAAAGGCCTCTCAGCAACCACTTTTGGGACCACTCCTGTCTCTCAATAAACATTTCTACTCTTACCATACACCATACACTTGAAATTTGTTATTTGATATTTGGGGGACATGAACTCAGCACTTCTGAGGTTGGAGGGTATCTTCCTCCATCACAAGATGGCAAATAGGTGGTGACACAGTCCCAGTTGGGTCCAAGCTAGGGAACTGGAGAATCCCATGGTGTCCTCCGGAAGATGCCCTGGCTAATTCTCTCTGGGCAAGGCCAGGTGCCAGACAGCAGGAATAACATGCAAGTGCCCTCTTGATTTCTTTGATGTGAGCTGTTTCATACAACCCTGTGTCAAGTCTCTTGCTTCCAAGAGGTTTCCTGGCCAGGTTAAGCTTGTTACTGAAACAAGTAGTAATGTCTGAGAGAAAACTGTCATTATTATTGCTTGGCATAGGGTGGCAAGGTACTCTGGTCACTCTACATTTGCAAAAACAGCCTGGGAGGTAGTTTTAGAGCAGGTCGTGATTCGATGATGTTCTGAGGAACAGTAGCAGAAGAGAGCAGACAAGGGACAATCAGCTGAAAGAAGCCCTGGGCTTTCAAAGCATCACCGAGGGGCCAGCCAGCTCTCTGCACCACGGATTCAACCAGTCACGGATCAAGGAAGCTGTGCAGCTGCTTCTGGCAGTGTATTGTGCAGTTAGGCCTACAAGGACTGCATCTGTATTGAGCAATTATGGGCTTTTTCCTTGTTATCCCTCCATGAGTGACTGATTGCAACAGCTGTTCATATAGCATTTGCACTATGTATAACCTACAGATGACTTAAGCCTTAGAGGAGGGTGTGTATTGGTTACACACAAAGGCACCATTCTGTACCAAGGATGCAAGCACCTGTGGGTACTGGGATCCCCAATGGTCCTGGAACCCTTCACTGTGGACCCCGAAGGATGACTGTGCCTGTCAGGCTGGGAGGAACGAGCAGAGCCAGGGTCTCTTATTCACTTTACAGCTCCTCAATCTCCAGTGCACTCATCTTCCACTAGGTGTCAACTTTTTTAAAAAACTAAAACAAAATTTTAAAGTACGTCAATCAGGGAGTTAGCAATGGTACACACAATGCTCATTGTCATTCCCAAATCATTCATCCAGAGCACATCAGCCTTCAATTGTCTGAACAATGCCAGTACAAATCTTTCTGTTCAATTTAATTCAGAGAAATCAATAGTATAACTATCTTAACTATTTTTATAAACATATACATACATGTATATACATGCTTTTTCTTTCAGCTTGTCACACTAATGAAACAATATGATGCTGTGCGTGTCTTATTTATTTCACTAATGAGTATGTTTTCAAGGTTCATCCATTTACCTATAAAAGTATCCAGTTTATCATACTTTACGGCTAAATAGTACTCCATTGTGTAAAAATGTCACATCTTTTTTATCCATCCTTCAGTCAGTAGGCATTTAGGTTGTTTCCAAGATCTGACTATTATAAACTGTGCTGCTATAAACATGGGTGCACATATATCACCGTGGTATGATGTTTTTAATTCTCATGGGAAGCTACCCAGAAGGAAATAGCTGGATGGAATGGGATCGCCAGTCCTAGGTTTTTGAGGATTCTCCACACTGATTTCCACAGTGGTTGCACCAGTTTGCATTCCCACTAACCATGGAGAAGGATTCCTTTTCCCTCACAGCCCCTCCAGCATTTGTTATTGCTTGATTTCTTGATACTAGCTATTCTTTCCAGGGTGAAGTGGAACATCTATAGTGTTTTAATTGGCATCTCTCAAATGTTAAATATGTTTTCATGTATTTACTTGCTGATTGTCTTTCTTCATCTGAGAAGTATGTATTCAGCTTAAATGCCCATTTTTTTTTTTTTTGTCTTTTTTCTTTTTATCGGTACCAGGATCGAATTCACGACTGCCTGCTTGCAAGGCAGGCGCTAATGCCGCTGAGCTAAATCCCCAGCCCCCTTAAATGCCCATTTTTGAACTGGATCTTTATATCTGGGAGGACTGATTGATTTGACAGCAATTGTCTGAAAAACAGCTGGAAAATATTTTATCCCACATTATGGGTTGTCTCTTCACTCTGTGGTGGTTTCTCTCACTGTG